AAGGGGGGAAAAAAAGGAAAAAAAGCTGGAAAAAAGAAAAGAAAAAAAGGCAAACAGTAAGGGTTGCTCCCAGGCTCACACAGACGCAGGTGCATTGGGTCTTGGCGCCCATGTGGAGGGACTCCCCGTCCTACACACACGGCTCCGTCCCAGAGTCCTTGTCCCTGGACATGTCCCAGAAGGCCCTAAGAGCTGCACCCAAGTGGGAGTCTCATTTCGTAACCTGCCCACCGCCTATAGCGGATTATGTCACGGATGAAGAAGTCGGTTGCCCTTTCCATCGCAGTCCTCAAGTGTCACAGGCCAAGCGAGGACAGAGGCGGTGCTGCCTCCTCCGCGCAGCATCGCTGCTGTCTGCAGTGGAGGAGAGAGCCCAAAAGGCAGAGCTGGGGGCAAGAAATGCGGGAGCTGCGGAGGGGAGCTGCTCCCGGGCGCTGGGCATGGCCACGGGCAAGGCCAGGGCCTTTGGCTGCGAGTGGCTTTCCTGCAAAAGCAGAAGCCCCTGTGCCCTCCCCAGCTGTACGCGCAGCTTGGAGCAGCCGCATGGCTCTGCAGGAACCCCTGCCAAGGCGGAGGGGGAACACGCTCTAAAACGAGACCCTGACACGTGAAGCAGGATTGCTCCAATGCTTTTTTGTTTTGTCCCCCTTTTTTTCCCCCCTCTCTTTTCTTTCATTCTGAAAGCATCACTCTCCCTTTAAAGGCAGAAGTGGTTATGAAAAAAAGGACCTTTTTTTTTTTTCTTTTTTTTGCCTTTTTAAAAAGGCAAGTGCTTCCTGCAGCCTGCACACTGCTGCACCCGCTGTGCTGAGCCCTGGAGACAGGCTGCTGTAGGGTTTTTTAAATTTTTAACTTCTACTTTGTGGAGCCTGAGGAGGGGACGCCCCCCGGCAAGCACAGGCGGCAGCGGCAGAGCGGTGCCCGGAGGGACATGCCCACTGTGGCAGTCCCAGACGCAGATCCCGCTGCAGCGGGCGCCCTTCCGAGGACGAGGCGCGCGGTGGCTTTGAGCGCGCTGCCGGCAGGGGTGGCGAGCAGCTCTGCAGAAAGCCTGTGCTCCTTGTCCTCTGTTGATGTGGTGTCTAGTAACCCTGGGAGAGGGGCTGACGGGAAGGCTGTGCCCCTGCTCCTCTCCTGCACCCCAGCTGAGCTGGCTGGGTGCACACACACACACACACACAGATACACATGAAAAACACCGCACGAAGCCTCTCCGGTTTCTCCCGAGCACTTGAATTTCGCCTTGCGCAGCGGTGGGAAGCCGAGCTGACATCAGCCCTTGGACGCCTCTGACGTGAGTGCCTGGTGCCAGAGTTGGGGGACAGGGACAAACCCCCTGGGCACGTTTCAGCACTCTTGGCTTTTTTTGTTTTTTTAAGTCGAGGGAGGGCACAGCACACTGGAGTTAGCTGAGACCTTTGCACAGTGGCGGCGTTCATGTTTTCACGGTTCTTTAGTTCTGTAAATCAAGCAGAGAAACGTAAACTGGGATATAAATGAACTTTAGCAGGATATAGACATGAATGCACACAAGAGCACAGCAACTCAGAGGCCCTGGATCCCCAATCCCCCAGTTTTGGCAGCAGTCACCAGCTAAAAACGGCTACGTGTTTGGCAAAATGCCCCCCGGTCCTATAGTGATCTGACTCAAAAAAAAAGAAATCCAAAAACAGTCACAGGCAGTAGATTTTGGTAGTGCACAGCATGCACAATTTGTACGTGACTCTCCAAGCCCAGGGCCCTGCCGCACGGGCCACCACAGGTTGCCGGTTTGATCCGCTGGGCTTCAGCAAGCCGAGGGTTTCCGTTCCCATCTCTGCCCGGGCCGCTCGCACCTCCCATGAGCCGAAACCACAGGGGCGCCTCCGCCTCCCCCCGGCCCCGCCACCGGCCTGTGCTCGGCTCTGCGCTATCTGCCGGGCAAAGAGACGCTGGGAACGCGGCACGAGCTGCCAGAGGGTTTTTTCCTCACTGCTGCGATAAGGCCCTGCAAGTGCTTATCTTGCTTATCTGCAGAGCTGCTTTTCTGGGCTATTTTCTTTTTTATTTTTTTCCCCTCTTTTTGAACATGGTAGCAGGACGCTGTTGATGCCCAGCGTGATCCCTACCCCATTTTGCCAAGCTGTGGTCCCTCGGTGGTTCCTGCACTCCCTTCCCGGTACAGGAGAGCTGACAATAGCCCCGGTAGTTCTATCATAGAGAACAGTGAGTTACAACAAACCTTAACACACCTGAATCAGAATGACAGACCATGAAATAATGTTTTTCTTCACTTTTCATTGCCCTCCCTGCCTGACTCAACTATCAGCTGGGCTCCTGCCACGGGGATTATTTCACCGGCCGCTTCAAAAATCTTTATTGGACACAGCAAAGTCTCCATTGCTGAAACCTAGCTTGTGTCAGAGGCAAGTTGGATTTTACTCTGCGTCTGTGTGTGGCTACCTGGGCTGGAAGTTTTAACCTGTACGGTGGTAGCAGGCACGTGCTGCTTTGCCTGGGTCTCAGTTCTGGAGTTCATCACTTTGAACAAGGCCAATGATTGCCTCTCGTGTTGGAGGTGAAGAACAGCAGAAAAATGTTCTTTTTTCTTCTTCTGTTTTTTCAGCACATATCTCCTGCAGGGTAAATTTCTAATCCTGACTCCAAAGAACAGCCAGCAAAACGACAGGGCAGACAAACAAAACCTGTATCAAGGAGAAAAAAGAAGAAATTTTCAAACCCTTCCTCTAGTACATATTGTGCAAAACTGCTGATCAGGACCACAGTCTGCCCTCAGTAGATGTGCAAACACCGTGGTTATTTGGCCTCTGAGCCAAGCACCTATCACTTCATTTGTGGTGCATAGGCAGCAGCTTTTCGACCTAATAACTGGTCCTTACCAGGGAAGGACTGAGCTGAGTGTGCCTCTGTCTACTCCTTTTTGGACCACTGTCTCAATATTTGAGATGTACTTAGACAAGCCTCCTCGGACCAAATACACCTGAACCTGTGGGCGGGAGAGGAAGACTAGCAGTGGAGCCTGCAATGGGGACAAGCCCCATAGTCTTGCAGGATATTCTCAGTTTCTCTCTTGGGGATGAACAAAACCTTTGGATTAAAACAGCCAGGATCTGTAGGTGCTTTGACAACTGCATCCAAATTTTTCCTCCTGCATGCCATCCCAAATTTTCTCACTTTGAAAGTGGATGCATCTCAGCAGCGGTGCAGGGAGCAGCAGATGGCAGTGTCCCTGGTCTGCGCTCATCCCTCCTCAAACTGGGTGAAAACAAATTAAAACAATGAGAAGTTGTCTTCCAAGAGTCTTCTTCACATCAGAGTGAATTTGCACGGTATATGCAAAGTATATGTGTACACAGGAGTTTAAACCAGGTTGCCTGTTGTGCACTAGGAAAAAAAAAAACACAGCTGGGCACAGGCAGGTATTGCAGGATCTATTCATTATCAGATATATAAATGTGGGAATTTAATCAAAGTAAATAAGAAGTTTCCCATGTCAGTCACAACCAAGATATTGGACTGCTTGTCAAGTCTTATCCTCTACAGGAATAAGGCACTTCTAGGGACTCAAAATATTTTCTGCCAGCATATCAGTATTTTCTGTGTTAAAAGAATGTGTTCTTCAAATTTTTCTTGCACTGGCAATTTTTGTTCAACTTTTCTACACTTTCTGCTGCAGGGATGTTTCTATGATTCTGCTAAAAGGGTCGCCCCTTCTCCACTGAAACACACGAGCAAGTGCTAAGCTTTATTTATGCATCTGATTTCTGCTGAAATCAAAAAGGCTCACGGTTGAGTTTTGGTGGATTAGGCTCTTCATTAAACCATACGAAGATGCATTTATGGTTGATGCAAATGTCGCAGCACTCAGCTCTGCTCCACTGCTTTTGCATCCCCACTAAAAGCCGATTCACATTGGAGACGGCAAGTGAGCAATTTGATGGTAATTCAACTAATATGGCTGTTTTGGGGCTGGGAGATAGTGCTGCTGCTCATCACACACTCCCTCCTGCTCACACGCACCCATCCCTCATCTGTGGCCATCAGCAAAGGAGACGGCTCTGTGGTTCAGATTTCTGTTCTGGAGAGGGGATATAAAGGTGACTTCACCAAAGTGTCAGCTGCTGTTTTAATTATAAAAACCCTAAAATAGTTTCATGGGAAATGAGCAGTCGTGACCACAGTGGTGCAGCACATGTCCAAGTCTGAGTTAAGAGAACGAGTTCTGACCTCAGAAGAATTCCTAATTGCAGCTTTTCTGTAGCCTCTTCTATGGGGACTTCTGTTCCTGTTGTTCACAGGAAAGGGTCTCAGCTTTGCACTAAACACTCCTGTAGGCAGTAAGGCTTTCTAACTTTGGTGGCAAATATTTGCAGACATGCTCAACTGCAAGAGATGTCTCCACCATTTATCTCTCTTAACACCATTCAGTTCTGCTCATTTTTTTCTCCACTTTTCACCCAAAGAAAAAGTGGCAAAGCCAACCATAATGTGTCTGCAAGTGCTGTGAGACAGAAACCCATAACTATTCCCTTCCCTTCCTTTCTAGGCTCTTTTACTTTTTTTATTGGTTCAAAAAAATATTTCCATGACAAAGCTACAAGAAAGGCCAGAAGTCTATGAAAACTTTTAGCTATAGAACAAATATTTTTGGCAAATGTTTTACTCTCTTGGAGGAAAAAAAATCATCCTTTGGTCATTGCAAAAGGACACGCCAGTTGGGACTGAGTTTTTTGGGTAGTTTTGACTAGATCTGAGTATTCAGGGCATGGTTTGGGGAGCAGTTTAAGCCTCGTTGAGGCTGGAGAGCTCAGGGGTTCACCCCACTGCTCTCCACCTCTGCCTGGGATAGTCATGCATTCCTTCCTTCCCTCTTTCTTTCTTTGCCATGGTAGCTAGTTAATTAAATGCTTTATGCCAAGTGAACAGCTCAAGCAGGAAGGGCTGAGAGTGACCTAGCTCAGGAGAACCAAATAAATTGGAGACATCCCACGACAAATCTTCACTCTCAGTGTGAAGAGTGGCAGCAAGCGAGTGTGAGCTCAGGTATTCAGCTTTCCCCTGCAGAATGCCTTCCAAATATCAATTGAAAAGAAAATCTGAAGGAACAAATCAGGCTACTTGGATTATTCAGAAGACAAAGGGTAAACAAAAATCTTATTCCATCATCAAACAGAAAAATGCCAATGTAATGTTTTTGCACTGCTATAGGGGATTCTCCATATGTCATCTCCCCTTAACTATTAGGAAAAATTGCACTGACTTCAAAACAAAGGTATTTTTCAACTAAAAGATATAAATATATATTGACATTTATTCCAGTTGTGGATGACTTTTTACAAATCAAACCTACAAATTGGAGACGTGAAATACAGTAATGGCTGAATCCATTAACTCAACAATTCTTTATTTGTTGCTCATGTTTGCAAGAAAATATACACAGGATATTAACCTTTGTTTTTGATAGTTAATGTGCAAGTTTATCAGAAAGATAATATTTCCTGTGCATATACCCACATACAATGTTTATTTACAGAGTTTTAAAACATGTTTACTGACCTTAGCAAATAGTATTCCCAAGAAAGCTGCTTACAGGCTAAGCAAATAGGAAAGCAATTTGGAGATATTATTTAAAGAAGGAAGTGACTCACTGACTTAATGAAGGGAGAGGCCTCCACAATTGAATAAGGCTGCCAAGGCTGGAAAGCAGCAGGGTAGGAGGAGGCCCGCTGGCACCGACTGATACGGTGGCATTCAGTCAATGAGAAACGGGGCTTGCAGGGTCCAGGGTTGTGTTGCGAAGAGCGGCTGCCATTTTCAGAGCTTTTGTCACAAACATGTGTGTTAAGTGACATTGGGGTTTGCTGTGGTTAAGTCGCATGTTTTTTTCTAAGACTTTGCTACAGAAAAACCTCATACCTGTCATGAGCAGATGGGTGCCGATGGGCAGAGGAGCTACGTGGACCAAAGGCTTTGGGCTGGGCTGTCACGCACAGCTCTGTCCCTACCCATGGAGCGGGTCGAGCGCAGTGTGGCACCCCAGGCAGGAAGGCAAACACCTTTGTTCCCTCTTCCCCTGTCGCCAGGGTCTCCCCAGCCCCATGTTGCGCTGCCCGTCTCAGCGCCTCCTGGACCGCATAGTGCGGCGCTACGCCGAGGTGCCCGACGCCGGCAGCATCTACATGGACCACCTCACTGACCGCGACAAGCTGCGCCTTCTGTACACGCTGGCGGTGAATTCGCACCCCATCTTGCTACAGGTACGCGCCACCTGTGCTGAAACCTCCTCCAGAACCCCCTCTCCAGCAAATCCTTGGCTAAAACAGTCCCGCTGCAGGGAATCCCAGCCCCGGTCCTCGAGCAAGGTCTGCACGGTGCCTTGCAATAGCCTGTGAAGTTGCTGGGAGATATGGATGCCCAACCCCTTAAACAAATCAGAACCCAGATGGATTATTATTACAATAATGTACTGTAAAAGCCAGGGTTGTATACCTCCCCAGGACTGCACGGTGCTCTGTTTGCACTGCTAATGCATTGCTTAAAATCACGGCCTCATTATAAAATCCAAAGTGCAAGAGAGCACGTTTTGACGTGGGCGCACCAAGAAGCAATGTTGAGGCGGCACGTGGCCTTGGAGAGCACCAATTCCCCCAGCTTAATGCTCCACAGCTATTTTATTTCACTTTTTTTCTGTGCACATGCAACCAGCATGGCTCCATGGCGAAGTAAGCTTTGCAGAGGCGTTTGGTTGAATTCCAGATAAAACGGAGCTCTCTGTTCAAAGGCAAAGAGCTGGGAGGCCCCATATTCCTTGTTCTCTGCCCCAGTGAGACAGATAAGTCAAAATATAAATGAAGGAAAAGTTTTATGTTGGCAAGGCTATGTGATTTCCACACTAAGGAGTGAGATGGCCTAGGATAACTGCACTACTGGCATGGGGTGACTGATGCCGTGAGGCCATCCCGAATGTCCCTGCTGTATCAAACATCTGGGACTTCTGAACCTGAGTCTGCAAAGTCTCTTCTAAAATGAGTCAGACAGTTGTTACAAACTAGCTAAAACAGCTTTAGCCCCACCTCACCTTCAACCCATGACGTTAGCTATGCAGTGCTCATGAGGGAGCCATCAAAGACTGCATAAAGAAGCCTAAAATTAGCTCTTCTGTGCCTTAAAATTTCATGAATTTAAAGTCTATTATTATCTTGGAGTTTCCAGTTAGTCTCCTTTCCCTCAAAGAACAGACCTTGCAATATCAGATTCTTCTTCTTTAATTAAAATAAAGCAAAAGAAGAAAAGAAAAGTAGTTACCTCAACTTAGCTATTGCCTTCCCAGCCTTCTGGGGCTAACTGGGGGGAAGGAATTGAACCCACAAGGTGGTGGGCTGACTTTAAAAGGCAGAACAAAAGATGAGAGCAGCTGTTTGCAGCAGGTCGGGGTTCTTGTCTGCCTGAAGTCATTTGGGAGGACGGTGGGCTGATGGCCATGAGAAGACAGCCACACTTACTTACCCAGTGTGTGCTCCTCCACACAGCCACCAATGGGGGAAATAGCTTAGAAAGGGGGATTTCTGGACTTGACGGCCCACATGCCATTCCCGCTCTCCCGGCAGATCTTCCCAGACGTGGAGGGGTGGCCGTTCCCGCGATACCTGGGTGCCTGCGGGCGGCTGGTGGTCAGCGCCAGCACCCGGCCCCTCCGCGACTTCTTCGGTGCCGCTCCCGAGGTGGCTGCCGACCTGGCCCTGCAGCTCCTCGCCGTCCTCCGCTCCATGGGCACCAACGACCTCAACTACTTTTTCTACTTCACCCACGTGGACGCTGGCACCTTCGGCGTTTTCAGCAACGGGCATCTGTTCATCCGGGATGCCAGCACGCTGGGCATCATCGACAGGGAGGAAGGTACTCAGCAGGCTCTGCAGGCACGCATCTGTTGCCGGAGGTTTTCGTAAGGTGGAGGAAAACAAATAGTTCACCTGCTGTGCTCAGCTTCTTTGATTTTTCTTTTTTTTAATAATCCGTACGTTGCTTGGTAAAATAGATAATAAAAGTACAAGAGACATATTGACAGCAAAAACATCAGTGGCTCCTGCCACCCTTGGCACCGAGTCTGGAAGGCAACGGGAGTTTTATCTGCTTGGTAAATGATGCCATGACCATAGGATGCCTCAGAGTGCATCCGAGCGCCACGCAGATGACACAGAGTCTTGCCATTTCTGCGACTACCAACAATATTCAGCATACACTGCACCAAATGGTCAAATTTAAAGGCTCCTTAAATCACTTCTTTTGCTAAAAAAGCTTTTTTCTCACAAATGTCAATATTTGCAGAGAGAAACTTTGTAGGTTGACTTGTTTTAAGAACTGGGTCAAAGCAGAAGCACATTTCTCACATTACTTGCAAGAACAACAAGAAAAGCTCCTTTTTGTAAGTTTTCTATAAAAAGAACAACTATTCACTTTTCAAAGGTTATATTGGTCTATCACTGGCACTAGAACTAGACAAAGTCTATTCCTTCAATAATTTATTATTTCATTTAAATGTTAAAATTTTAAAAGGCTCATATATTTGGAAACAGTCATCAGAGAATTTTATAATTATTACTATTATTTTTAATTCTGAAAGCCATTATTCCTGTCTTGTCTCCAGGTAGATTAATTGTTGCAATTTAGTGATTTCTGCGATTATGGATAACATGGAAATATTATGGCTCTGACTACCGTAGCCTATTTTGTTTTTATAGGAACTCCACACTTCAGCTCTTGGCATTGTCTCTGCATCAGTTTTATTGAATAGACAACTCTTAGCTTCCTCTGTAAGGCTGTTCTGTGGGTTAGTGTGGAGTTCTGTCATGAAGCAAAGCATACGCATTTTGGGAGCGAGAATATTGTTTGGCCCATATGCAGATGCAGCAGAGCATACTCTGTGGTGGAAGACCCTAGTATCATTTAGATTGTATATGAACTACATTTTGTCACTAAGTTACAGGTATATTTGATTATCCGGGATTGTGCTCCGTGTTTCTAACAAACGGTTTAATTGTCATTAACAGGGAGCCCGCTCACCGGTGACCAGCAGGAGTATAAAGATATATTTAGCTGCTTGACTGTGGACTGCCAGTCTGCAGCTGTGTCCTGTAACTCAATCAGAGAGGAGCAGAGTCTCGTCATGGTATGTCAGGAGCTTTTGCCTAAGCTCCTAGGGGGGAAATTCCTTCAAGCCGTGCAGGAGAAGATAGACGGCTTCCTCCAGCACTGCGCCGACGGCTTCACCAACGAGCAGGGCATCGACGACGCGGTCACGAAGCTCGCAGAGCTCCTGAAACCGCTGCGATCTTGCGATTCGCGGTTTGCCTATCGCTACCCGGACTGCAAATACAGTGACAAATACTGAGAGAAGCTCTCCGGGAAAGGGCAGAGCAGCCTCAGAGCCTCGCGGTCACGGACAGCGAGAAGGACCTGGGGTAGCTGGGAAGAGCTGCATCAAAACGGAGGCATCTTGATGGAGATCCAGGAGGAAGCACCTGGGATTTACTGCTCATCTCCCAGAAATACAGTGGTTACGTGGGGTGTTTGACATGATCTAAGTCTTTCGGATTATAGATGTTATCACAACAGTGACTACAAGATTAATAAATCTTGTTCATGCATTTTGGCCTTGGAAAAATTTTCCATGCCATCCATTAAAATGAAACCCTCTGAAGGCAGCTCACCCACAACTAGCTAGATACAGGAGCTTTATTACCAAGAAAATCTTTTTGATCGAGATGATATATGTATAATGTGAGATGGATGGAAGCATTTAAGACTTTCCTGTGGGGATTTTTAATGCTCTAAGAACCATATCTAAACTGAGTCATTTGATCAGTTCCTTACCATCACCCACTACAGACCACTTTTATAAAATATTTAAATTTTATTACTTTCATGGCACATGGAACAGAAAGAAGCAATTGACAGCACTAAAAAACTGAAAGAACCCCTGTCTCCTGAGACTTAATTTCTCTAATCCCCAAATAGCATTACTTCTAATTTTCCACGGTTTTGACTGGCAGTAATTGGAGTCTAATAAAGGTTCTCATTTCCAGACCAAAAATCCCCAACTTTTAATCTGCTTGTCCAATAGATACATTCACACTTTTGTCTCTAAAAATAAGAAGACAACCGGGTTTGAGTGGCTTTGTACAAAACCACTCAAATGGGAAAACGTCAAACAAGCAGAGGAGGGAAACAACACTAAAAAGATGAGATATAAATTTACCCTGAACATCAGGAGTCTCAGTGAACACTCAATACTTAACCTAGGTGCTGAGGCACCTCCCAAAAGTTGCAGAGATCTAAGTCCTGACCAGGAAGAAGTATCTCCAGTCCCTCCTCCGTTTTCCCTTTAAAGGAGAAGTCACTAAGCCAGTCCTCAAAGGAGTGATTTAGGCACCTAAACTTTGGGTGGGGGTGGACTCTCGTGTCTGAGAAGTGGCCAACCCAGAGCTAGAAAGAGTTGCTTTATTTTGTGAAGGATGGAAGGAGAAGGTAGGAGTTCACGCAACTTTCTCACCCAGCATTTGTGAGGCCCCATCCCACACAGTCCCTGTGGGGAGTCAGAGCGCCCCACCAAACCTTCCCTGCTGTCCCTTGCTGGACTGCAAGACCTCTCTTGGGTCTGAGACTTTTCTCCTGGGACTCAGATGCCCAAGAGTCCCCAGGCAAATTTGACTGAGCTTAGGCAGAAACAATTTTTTTCTGGAACCTTCTGGAAGTGTTTTCCAGAAACAGTCACAGAAGCAGTCTTCCTCTAGCCATGGTTCAAAAAATAAATCAGTAACTTCCATAAAAGCATTAAAAAAATGTGAATGCATTTACATTGCTAAGCTATGTACAGAGTTACAAAGAAAGATCTGGAATGCAAGTCAAAATTTTATGTTGGCTAATGCAAAGGGAGGCTCGGGAGGGACTCTGTTCCCTGTGTGTATGCAGAGCACCATACCTGCAGGCAAAAGTTACTTATAGACACGCATTAGGCACTAAAAAATACACGTAGGTCTGGCACTGAGAAAATCTGACCCAAGACATTTATTCTGGTTTTCCATTATTCCTCCTGGCATAAAATATCAAGTGCACCTTTCACCTCTCAAGAAGTGGAAACGCTGAAAATAATTTGTAGGTAAATTTAGCTTTAGGTCCAGATGGTCTGACAGCAAAAATGTTTAAATATACAGTAGAAGCTACTGCTGCAGCTCTTTCATGATTTCAGTCTATTTCTACATCATGGCTGTCTTCCAGTAAGAAAAACATGTCCTTTGCCTAGATCCATAAGGCTGATTACCAGTCTGTTTTCAACAGTTTTTCCTGAATCCGTCTCCATCTTAGCTCTCTGGGCCTGTGATTTTACCTAATAACTGCACATTAACCCTGGCCTCTTTCTGCCCAGCGAGGCTGTCCCTGTTGCAGAGGGCTGGCGACCCCTCGCAAAGGGGAGACAGGGAAAACTGGCTGCTTTGCCATCAATCTGCTTGTCATTAGTAGTTACTCACACCTCGCTCTGTGCTGCTAATTGATGGCTTCCATTCAGCACTGGAAGGGAACGTTGTTTATACAGTTGCAGCTAAAAATGCACACCACAAAATGTCCAAAAAGCTCCAAGCTGAAGAGCTCTCTGGGCCCGCCCATGCCAAAACAGAGATCGTTTGCAAACCATGGGCCAGGGGAGAGCTCTTCACAGTTACTCAGTGACTCAGTCTGACACAGTCTGGCCTCTCATTCAGTTCTTTCTGCTTTAGCAATTACTGAACTCACACTCAGATGGGGGACCAGCCCTTGCAAAAGTGCTCAGGCTGGGTTCACCTCCTCTCTGGTGCATCTATGGGAGTTTTTGGCTTGTTTGTTTGTTTTCTTCTTCTTCTTCCTTTCTTTCTTTCTTTTAAATCATGTAGATATTTTCTTTTGGAAAGGAGCCACTAGCTTACCAGGCTGATCTGTGAAAAATGGCTTGTAGACAGTAGAGCATCTCTCAGCAGAGAAATGCAGAGAAGCTGAGTAAATTCATCACTGTTGAGAAGGGCAAGAAGAAGCCCACAACATCAAGCTAGCATGAAGCTAAGGCACTGGGAGTTGTCACATGCGCTTCAGGAGGGCCCTGATAACTCACTAAATGTCATAAAATGCTCAGTATAAGAAATGAAAGAAAGAAAGAAAGGTCTTGCCCTGCTGCTGGACTCAAAGCAGCAAAACCACCGCAGTGGAAGTTTTGAGACACACAGCTTGATCCAAAGATGTTGAAGGGGAGAAGAATTTCCTACTGCCTTCAATACACTTTGATATCAGTTTAAAAAAAAAAGAAGTTTACATAATTAGAAATAACTTAATCATTGACTTAAAATATTGGAGAGATAAGAGCTGTGTGCACCATCAGTTTCTCTTCAAACATAGCTTACAAAGACCAGGCTTATGTGACTAACATGCCAGCCATAAAATCAGTTCATGGCTCAGAGAACAATCATTTTCCTAAACTAAATCTCATTTCCTTGTATTTGTCTGTTTTTTTTTTCCACTGCCAATTTTTTCTTTTAATATTTTCTCTTTTTTTGGCAGTCAGGACCTGGAATCAGTGCCCACCCTGTCTGCCTGCTTCAGTCAAGCCTTGCAATGCTCGTAGGCCAGGCTCCAAAAGGTTGTGAAATTAATTTATAAAAGACAATTACTTTAAACCTAATCCTTCCCAAAAGAACTCTCTAGTAATTTTTTCCTCTCTTCATTTATTTCTCACAGTGGCGAGTCTTCGTATACTGCTGCCAGTAACAGTTTAAAAACAGATCAGGCCTTCATGTTTCCACAGTAGAACAAGTTTTTCAGAAATCTCATAATCAGTCTGAACACTTCCTTTATTTGTGGATAGTTTGCAGCTGCGTTTATGCCCACATATTTACTAGGTGTCTGTCTTCCTATAGCCCACTTATTTTTTATTATTTTGTGTCTTGGTTTATAAAATTGTATTTTCTGCCATGTTTTATTTAGTGGTATATTTTAATACGCTCAGTTCTCAAGGGACAGGTTCTGCATACGGGCAGCTCGTAGCAAGTCATATTCCTGGTTTCACCCCCCTTTTAGTTTATTGCCCTTCTCGGTATCATTTTCAGTCAACTCCTTTACACCTTTCAGTGATGTTCTTACTGCTAACCATCTGCTAAACATGCCCCTCTGCCCTGAGCAACCCCTTTTTGAAACAGCAGCAGCTATCAGTGCCGTTAAATTGCCTTTTACGCACACTCCTCGTGCTGGAAGGAGGGCTCTCTGGCAGCATTGGCTGAGACGGGCCTTTCCATCGCGCGTTATGTAATGGGCTGCCCTTTAACACAGGCATTTGTTGCATTAAAGCGGGCAGAAATACCTCCTGCGCTCTAACACCGGGGCTCACTCACTGGTGCCAGGGCCAAGAAGCCCAGCTCAGCAGCGTAACGTGGTTTTTGGTTGCTAAACTGTCCTGCAAGCTCAGTCTGCCTGTGCGTGCCAAGCTCTCGACAGGACGAGCGAGGAAAGGGGGAGAGTAAAAGAGCGCAGAAGAAGAGCACGTGCAACGGCGCTGCTTTCGACATCATTCTCTGTGCAGCAAATAGCCGCACAAATGTTTCTAGCAGCTTCCTCTCTCTTGGTGCTTGGTCCAGGAGGTGGCAAGCAAGGAAAATCAGGAAAAGCCTTGTGATGTGCCCCTCAGTTGGCTACCCAGCGCCTTCCCCCAGGTGCCTCCTTGCTCTGCACCCTCTTCTTCATTTAATAACTGCCTTACTCCAGCATGGCAAATCCATGGGGAAATGAGACCGAGACAGAGCCCGCAGGACTGCCTTGCGCCGTCATGATGCCAAATGTTGCAGATATCTGGCCATCGTGGTACCTCCTGATTGATTGCCTTGGCCAGGATGCCGTACATCCAGTGGGAATGGGATGTACCATGAATCCATGGGGGAACCTGAGCAGGTATTTGAGATCAAGGTATTTGGTAGCATCAGAGCTCCCCAAAGCCCTCTAGCAGGGGACACTGTCATCATGACCTGGCTGTCCCTGGGGCTGAAGTTCAAGGGCCATGAGAGAGAAGGTTCTGTAAAACTGGATTTCTCTCTCCGCAGCTTTTGTACTCAGCAGTATCTATCTTGTCCCCTCTCTTTTCTGCTCCCCCGGCTTCACCACGGGTGCTATCATCTAGGAAAAAATCTGACATTTTGAGGTACATGGGGTCAGCATGTAACAGAAAACCAGAAACCTGAAAAAAACAGAAAAGCACATTTAGAATGAGGGTCTTTCCAGCAAGCTCAGCCAACAATAGTTATATGCAGATGCTTTTTATTTGTGTTCTGGTTTTCCAAGACTTTAGGATGCACTTGGGTCCCATTTGCCAATTACTGTCTACAACCAGGTGCTCTAGATACTTTGTTACTAATTCCTCCTATGCGAAACCTCAGATTCTCCCATTATCACATGAATCTGAAAAGCAGAGGTTTAATAAGTATACTGAATGTCATGAGACTTTACAAAATTACAAAAGCCAGCACCAGA